ATTTCATCACTTTGAATTCAAATGCCTGTTTGAAAATTTTTTCTTACTGCGATGTCAAAATGGCAAGAGGAATAAATTCCAATTTCAAGCCCATGAGGAAAAAGAAATTGAATTTGAAAGACTTCGGGCTTACATTTCTCAGCTGGCCATAGATCACACCATTAGCCGTTGTCTCATTAATATTTCCTGCCTTGATTCTGCAGATATTGGGCAATGCCCCGACTTTGTCTTGGACTCACTTAGTACAACTTTAGAAAGCAGCACAGGGACCCTAGGGAACTTGAACCAGCAGGTAGCATACCTGAGTTCCTGACTTGCTGTGCTAACTATTCTATGCGTACTATCTCATAGCATCCTTTGTTTAAATTGAAGTAGGAATTATTATCATTGCCATATTACAGCTGAGGAATTGAGAATTAATGAGATTAAATTATTTGTCCATGTCCTACAAAAAATTCCAGAGTCAATCTGAGAAACCAGGCAAAATCCACAGCACACAAACTTTGAATGCCAACTCTGTTGCCTTCCGTAGATTTGATTTTATTAGTTAAGTAAAGTGCATACCAACTTACCTTCTTATGTCTATTTTGAGAAACAACTGCAAGCATGTATAAATGCCCTTTTAAGATTGTGAAACACTATAATTTAGAGATAATTTCTGCATGAAGACTGCAGTACATTATTTGTCCTTTTGCTTGACCTATATTTTTAAGGTTGCTGGTTTCTAACACCTTTCCCTGGTCTATTCCTGAAGTTCCAGACCTTTTTAATTCTAATGAAATAGAGTGGCAAGTTAGGTGATATATTTTTCAGTGTTCCATACATAAAAACAAATGATTTACTTGTTCATTTTTCTGCAAAAGTAAGTCACTTATTAGTAATGAATAAATAAATATTTTTGTGAGTTTTGTACAGCCTTGATGTGCTTAGTTTTCAGACTAATTATTCTCAATTAGCTTCTGAAAAACAACACAGCATAAAAGAGCATTTATAGGATTCAAGAGATAAAAGGTGTTACTTGATTTTCATAACATTCAAAGATAATATTAAACTGAAAAGAAAATGGGAAGAAAATTTTGAAATGCTATTTTATTAAGAAAATAAAACTTCAAGTTCTCTATCCTTCATGCATTATTAGATAAGATAATGTACATTTATTTTGCTTTAATTCTGATATTATTTTACCCAGAGGAATGCAAATAAGATGAATCAAAGCCATTAACCTCTTCTTTCTACCAATTTATGGTGTCTGTGAAACTAATCATTTCATACATCAAAAGGTGTGCTGAACCATATTGTAGGCCATGTGATCTGATTCTTATCTTCTTCAGCTAATCATTAATGGAGACTTAACATTATAAATTTGGTCAGTATCCGTTTGAAAAATCCAGTGAGGGATGTTTGGATTTTAAAGGCACTTGTTTAGCAATCTGGAACGTAGATGAGCCGTGATAAAGAATTTGATTTTAGCAGTCTTGAATGCTCGGGATGTAGTTTCGGTCTGTCTTGAATCTCTCCCGAAGCTGTGGAGACCTTAGCGTTCCTCAGAGCTGAGTCTAACATAGACCCTCTCTGTCCCTGTGTCTGCTTGTTGAGAACTGGCAGTTCATTTGCTGCTAGAATACATTTATTCTTCTGGGCAAAGGATCATGTTCACACTAGATTAAAGAGTTCTTGGAAGAAATGGATTTGAGAGAAGTGTTTTGTTTTATTGTTCTTCTATTCTAATCCTGGTGTTTTAAGTTATAATACATTGATAAATGAGAAGACCCAACTTTCCCTTTTACTGAATATTGAATCAACCATCTGCTGGCTGAGAATTTTTGTATGAAAAGTTCTTATTTTAAGATAAATTAGAGCCGGTGCCGTGGCTCACTAGGCTAATCCTCTGCCTTTGGCGCTGGCACCCCGGGTTCTAGTCCCAGTTGGGGCACTGGATTCTGTCCCACTTGCTCCTCTTCCAGTCCAGCTCTCTGCTGTGGCCCGGGAAGGCAGTGGAGGATGGCCCAAGTGCTTGGGCCCTGCACCCGCATGGGAGACCAGGAGAACACCTGGCTCCTGGCTCCGGATCAGCACAGTGCACTGGCCGAAACAGCCGTTTGGGGGGTGAACCAATGGAAGGAAGAGCTTTCTCTGTCTCTATCTCTCTCTCTCTAACTCTGCCTGTCAAAAAGAAATAAATTAGAGCTTTTGAAATATTTTTATGAATGTATGATAATACCACAGCTTCATTTTTTTTTAATGTTTGGCTAATATAAAGTGTAAAGGACAAAGTAGAATATAAAGCATAATCTCAATGCAAAAATTAATGCTTTCAGCAGTCATTGAATACCCAGTGTAGTAATTTTCTAAATGAGACTAGTCTTAAATCTTGATGATGTTGTTCTTAAGGTAAATGAAATTGCTAGTTTTATCACTTCTCACATCTTTTAATTGTACTTAGTTCTTTCATGAATAGGCAAAATATTTACTTGCAAATCAGGGTCCTTTTATAACCATAGATCTTTTGAATTTGTATATAAATATTAATTGTCATTACATTATTAAATGTTGTTAGAAGAATGCACAAACCACTTCATTCACGAAACGTTTATTGGGCTCCTGCATTATACCAGCACTAAGGTAGATGCTGTGAGCATAAGAACTCGAACCCTTTATTCTCTTAGGAAACCAGCAGGTTGTAGAGTTAGGAATATGTCGCTCCCCCTCTTCATGGAGGAACGACACAGGACCCTGCACTGTTCTTTTGTCTGCTCGGCCCTCCCCGGGTTTGCTGCTGGTTCTTCCCGGGTTGGCTACCATCCCTTCCACCTCCATGGAAGGGCGGTTCCCCCTAGCCACTTTCCCCACTTCCGCGTGGGAGCGGCACACCGCCAGCCGGCTCTCTCGGGGGCTGCACAGGTGTTCCTCTTAGATGTTCCTGGTGCATGTTGTCTCTCTCCTCCTTTATAGTCCTCTTCCACCAATCCCAACTCTGCTACCCACACGCCGAGCACGCTGCTCTCCTCCAATCAGGAGCAGCTCCTGCAGCTTGTCAAGTTGGTGAGAGGCAGCTGTGTAGAAGCTGTTTCCTCCTCTCCCAGCGCCATATTGTGGGAGAGCAGATGCATAGAATAAGTCTTAATTCCAGTAACTTAGTCTAGTCCGAGTTGCTCCCCACAGGAATATTATTGAAATATTTTGTTACTTTGTAAGTAATAAAATATATATTATATAGCAAATATTTAATATATTTTATAAGATAGATATCTTAAAATTAAGATATTATAGTATCTTGGGCCGGCGCTGCGGCTGAACAGGCTGATCCTCCGGGTTCTAGTCCCAGTCAGGGCGCCAGATTCTGTCCCTGTTGCTCCTCTTCCATCCAGCTCTCTGCTGTGGCCCGGGAGTGCAGTGGAGGATGGCCCAAGTGCTTGGGCCCTGCACCCGCATGGGAGACCAGGAGAAGCACCTGGCTCCTGGCTTCGGATCAGCACAGTGCGCCGGCCACAGCGCGCTGGCTGTGGCGGCCATTGGAGGGTGAACCGATGACAAAGGAAGACCTTTCTCCCTGTCTCTTTCAAAGTCTACTCTTCCTGTCAAAAAGAAAAAAAGATATAGTATCTTAAAGTACTTTCTAAAAAGAAGAAGTTATTTATAATAGTTTCTGTTTTGCATTTGTGCAAAAATTAGGTTTAATTTAGTACCTAAAGGGAGTGAAGCTGTGGAGAAAATGTTTCTTTTCAGTAAATAATGCCATTTCAATTGAATAAGCAGACTAGAATTAACCTTTGAACCTTTGTTCATATCATTACAAAACACCAACTTTAGAATGATTATAGTTCTGAAAGTTAATTTTAGACCTTATAGATTTAGATTAACAAATTAAAATACCTTAATGACATTGAAGTAAGTAAACTAATGTTTTTAAAAATACAGAGGGTTAGGGATGGCTGGTTGGGACACCTGCTCTCTTTATTTGAGTGCCTGGGTTTGAGTATCAGCTCTGTTTCTTGACCCCAGCTTCTTGTTAGTGTGCAACTTGGAAGGCACAGGTTATGGCTTGAGTGCTGTCACCAACATCAGAGTCCTGGATTGAGTTTCTTGCTTGCCACTTCAGCCCCACTATACCCTGCAACACCAGGACTGTAACAGTTCATTGTATATTTCTCGGTGCCACTGGGAGCTGTCAGTGGACCTGGGGAAGAATCTACCTGCATTCCACCTGTCTGGAATCATACCCACCTGAGTAAAATCTCCTGTATACCTTGTAGTCACCCTGTAGCACTGGAACAGGGTCCAGTTCACATCCCCTAGCCCTAGGACTATGGCTGTTGGTATTATAAACCTCAGCATCAGTTGGCCTCTCCTAGAAGGACCTGAGGAAGGGTCCATCCGTATCACACAGTCACACAGCCACAGGAGTTGGTGCCATACGCCCCAGCATCACTCAGGCTTGCCAGCAGGTCAAAGGGGCAGCCACCATTGCCTCAGCAGCAAAAACAAGGCCCTGGCTTTCATATTCACCAGGCAGAATGACTCTGTGCTCTCTGTGGACCAAGGATATACACCTAAGGAAACCCTACATTATCTCAAAGCCACACTCCTGTCCCTATGAGCTACAGCAGACTAGTCCGCTGTGTCACTTTCAGACATAGCTGATATTGACTAAAACAAAAGAGATCACTTACCACACTCCTGGTCTCACCTAGAATGAAAATTCAAGCAACAAGCCAGGTGGCACACCGCATTCTAGCTCAACGATGCGCTCTTTTACAATAAGACCTACACCATAAAGAAGAAGGGAAGAGTGTGCTAGATGGTCAGACATCAGCATAGGGACACGGGAGACAAGTAGAAGCACGGTGGCCTCATGCTTCCTGGAGAGCACCATACTTCTCCAGAATTAGCTCCTGAACTGAAGACACTATGAAATAACAGGTGCGGAATTCAGGGTAATGATTGTATGGAAACTCACTGAGATACAAGAAAGTAAGATAGACTACAGAAATGAGGAGATAGTGCTCGCTTCGGCAGCGCATATACTAAAATTGGAACAATACAGAGAAGATTAGCATGGTCCCTGTGCAAGGATGACACACAAAGAAATGAGGAAATAACTGAGTGGCATGAATACAAATATTATTTAGAAGACAGAACTCTTTAAGAAGAAGCAAATAGAAATTTTGGAGATGAAATCTTCAGTCAGTGTAAAGGAAACATGATCTAAAGCTTTAAAGAAGAATAGACCAAGTAGGGGCAAGAACTTCTGACCTCAAGGATAAGAATTTGGAAATAACCTAATCAGAAACAAAGAGGAAAAATTTAAAATTACAATGCAAGTCTATGGGAAATGTGGGATACAATTAAATGACCAAGTATTCATGTTATAGATATTCCTGAAAGAAAAGAAAAGGAAAAAAGCATGAGGACCTGCTAAATGAAATAATAGTAGAAAATTTCCTAGGTCTTGAAAGAGACATGGACATCCACATAGAATACGCTCAAAGAACTCCAAGCAGACTAAACTGAAAAAGGTCTTCTCCAAGGTGTCCTGTAGTTACGTTGTCAAAAGTTAAAAACAAGGAAAGAATCCTAAAGACCATAAGAAAAAAGTGTCAAGTCACAAATAAGTGAAAACTAGTTAGATTAACATTATCAGACTTCTCTGCAGAAACCCTATAGGACCAAGAGTGGGATGATACATTCAAGGTCTTAAAGGAAAAAAAAAAAAAAAAAAGCAACGTCCAACCAAGAATATTATATCCTGTGAAGCTGTTCTTCAGAAGTGAAGCAGGAATAAAGTGTTTTCTAGGTGAACAAAAACTGAGAGAATTCGTCACCACTAGACCAGCCTTATAAAATTTCTGAAGAGCATCCTGCATTAGAAGTAAACATCATGAAAACACATGATATCACCAAGTCCAATAATAGAGCAGATAGAACCATTATCTGATCAACAAAATGAAAGATCTTAATTCTTATCTGTCAGTACTGACCTTGAATATCAATGGATTAAATTCACCAACCCCAAAAAAAACATAAACAAAACCCCAGTAAATGATGCCTATGAGAAACTCACTTCAAAAACAAAATTGCAGACTGAAAGTGAAGGTTTGGAAGAAGATACTAGGTAAATGGAAACCAAAAGCAAGTAGGCATAGTGGTCCTGATACCAGATAAAACAGATTTTAGATCAAAAACTATAAAAATAAAGTGACATTATATTTTTAGAAAAATTTAATTCAACAAGAAGACATAATAGTCATATATATTTACATCCAACACAAGACCACCCAGATATATACAGAAAATATTATTAAACATAAAGGAAGAAATACATTCCAGTACAATAATACTGAGTGACTTCAATACCCAAGTTTCATCAGTGGACAGAGGATCCAGACAGAAAAATCAATAAAGATAACATCAGAGTTGAAACATACTATCTAGCGGATGTACCTAACAGACATTTACAGGACATTTCACCCAGCAGCTACAGAATATACATTCTTCTCTTCAGCCTGTGGAGTATTTTCTAGGATAAACTACAGAAGTCAAGTCTCAACAAATTTAAAATGATTGAAGTCATACTGTCTATCTTCTCAGGCAATAAAGGAATAAAACTAGAAATCAACGCTAAGAAGAACAATAGAATACTCATAACCACTTAGAAATTAATCAGCATGCTACTGAATGATCAAAGGGTCATTGAGGGAATTCAAAAGAAAATCAAAAACCTTCTTAAAATAAATGAAAATGAAAACACAACATATCAAAATTTGAGGGATACAACAAAAGCAGCATTAGGAGGGAAGTTTATAACATTAAGTGGTTACATTTAAAAAAGAGAGGTCTCTCAAATTAAAGAACTAATGATTGAGGCTGGTGCTGTGGCGTAGTGGGTAAAGCCATCGGCTGCAGTGCCAGCAGTCACGGCTGCTCCATTTCTGATCCAGCTCTCTGCTATGGTGTGGGAAAGCAGCAGAAGATGGCCCAAGTCCTTTGGCTCCTGCACCCATGTGGGAGACCTGGAAAAAGTTCCTGGCTCATGGCTTCGGATTGGCACAGCTCCAGCCGATGCAGCCAATTTGGGAGTGAACCAGTAGATGGAAGACCTCCCTCTCTCCCTCCCTCCATTCCTCTCTCTCTTTCTCTCCCCCCACCCCGACTCTGTAACTCTGACTTTGAAATAAATAAATAAATCTTTTTTAAAAAGAAGTAATGATGCTTCTTGAAGACTTAGAGAACAAGAATGATCTAACCCCAGTGTCAGCAGGAGGCGACAGATAATAAGGATCAGAGTGTGAATGAATGAAATTGAAATTAAAATTTAAAAAAAAAATGAAAGATCAGAAACATGAAAAATTGGCTTTTGAGAAGATGAACAGCCTGGATAAACTTCTAGCCAAACTAACAAAAAAATAAAAATAAACAAAATTTGAGATGACACAGTAAACAGTACAACTGATACCACTGAAATACAAAGGATCAAAAGAAACTACTATGGAGAATTATATGCTAACAAACTGGAAAACCTCAAAGAAATGATACATTTCAGGATTCATATAATCAATGAAGATTTTTAAAAAATATTTAAGTTATACAAGTTTCATGTATGTCATATATACAGATTTAGGGACATAGTGATATTTCCCACTGTACCCTCCTTCCTGCCCACGCTCCATCCCATGTTCCTCTTCCCTCTCCCATTCTTACTCTTAATTTTTACACAGATCTATTTTCAGTTTACTTATGGTTGTAAAGTTAACCCTACATCAAATAAAAGAGTTGAGCAAATAGTATAAAGAAAAAAAAAAACCACTATTCCTTAATGGAATAGACAAGGATTGTAAACAATCATCAAATCTTAAAATGTCCATTTCTCTCCAGTACATTGCATTTTGTCCATGGCCATACCACCCTGAATGTGCCTGATCTCATCTAATCTCAGAAGCTAAGTAGGGCGAGCCCGGTAAGTACTTGGATGGGGGACCTATCAAGATTAAGTGCCATGGGGCTGGTGCTGTGGCAAAGAGGGAAAAGCCTCCACCTGCAGTGCTGGCATCATGTATCAGTGGAGAAAGTGTCGTTAGCTTTTGTTCCTGCTAGGTTTTGAAAAAGTTTTGTTTCCTAGACTATTTGTCAGGATGTTTCCACATTTGATTTTTCCAGGATTTAACAGGAAAAAAAAAAAAAAAGGACAAAGAATTGCCACCCAAAACTAAAATAATCACTTCCATACCCTTCCATACCAAAGAAGGCAACATGAAGCTGCAGTTTGAGTCCTGGCTCTTCCACTTCCAGTCTAGCTCTCTGCTCATGCACCTGGGAAAGCAGTATAAGAAGGCCCAAGTCCTTGGGCTCCTGCAGCCACATGGGAGACCTGGAAGAAGCTCTTGGCTCCTGACTTCAGGTTGTCCCATCTCCAACCGTTGAGCCCATTGGAGGAGTGAACCATTGTGTGGAAAATCACCCCCCCCTTTCTCTTTCCCTCCCTCCCTCCCTCCCTCAGTCTTTCTTCCCCATCCCCTCCTCTCTCTCTGGCTCTTTCTCTCTGTAACTCTGCTTTCAAATAAATAAATCAATCTTAAAAAAAAAATCAAGTCAAAAAGAGACTATCTAAACAGACTCATAAGAAACAATGAGAATGAAGCAGTAATCAAAAATCTTCCATTAAGGAAAAGTCCAGAACCCGATGGTTCTACTACTGAATCTATAAAATGTTCACAAAGATAGTAACTCCAGTACTCTTCAAACTATTCCGAAGTATTGAACAGCCTGGAACTCTGCCAAACTCTCTTTATGAAGCCAGCATTCCAAAACTAAACATAGACGCAAAACAAATGAAAAACCACAGAACATAGATTAATGAACATAAATGCAGAGACTCAACAAAGTACTATGAAATCAAATCCAAAACCATATCAAAAAGATCATACATCTTGATTAAGTGGGATTTATCCCCGACATGCAAGGGTGGTTCAACATTTCTAATCAATTAATGTCATAAATCACATAAGTAGAATGAAGAACAAAAACCATATGGTCATGTCAGTAGATGCAGAGAAAGCATTTGATAAGATTAAATATCCCTTCATGATTAAAAAAAAAAAACCTTCACAAATTAGGAATAGAAGAAACATTCCCCAAAATTATAAAGGCTTTATATCACAAACTAACTGGGAAGTAACTGAAAGCATTTCCCCTCAGTGCAGGAACAAGAAGAGGATGTCCACTTTCTCCATGCTTATTCAACGTGGTACTGGGAATTTTAGCAAGAGCAGTTAAGGTGGAGAAAGAAATAAAGGACATTGAAAGTGGAAATGAGGAAGTGAAATTATCCATGTTTGCATATGACATGTTGTTATACATGGAAAATCCCAAATATTCCACCAATGAGCTGCTGGAATTGATAGACCGACTCAGTGAAGTTGCAAGTTACTGTTTTTTGTATGTTTATTTTGTACCTTTTTTGTATGCTAATGATGAACTCATAGAGAAATCAAGAAAAATCCCATTCACAATGGCCACACAAAAATCAGATTTTTAGGAATGAATTTAACCAAAGAAGTGAAAGATCTCTGCAATGAGAATTAGCAAACATTGATGAAAGAAATCATCAAGGACATAAAAAATGGACACATGTTCCTTGCACATGGAACAGAGGAACCAGCGTCATTAAAGTGCTATACTATCTAAAGCAATTTACACATTCAGTGAACTCCCTATCAAAATACCATGGAATGCTTTGCATTTACAGAACTAGAAAAAACAATCCTCAAATTCATATGGAATCACAAAAGATTCCAAATAGCCGAAGCAATCCTACACAAGCAAAACCAAGCTGGAAGCATCACAATACCTGATTTCAAAGCATACCTCAAAACCACGTAATTAAAACACCTTAGTATTTAAGAATTTGTTGTATATAAATAAAAGTAGAAGCACTGAGTTCAAGTAATTTGAATTTGGGTTTTATAAATTTAAAAATCTGTCCTTTTGGCATGAATGGGGTGATACAGTGGGTTAAGCTGATACCTAGAATGTGAGCATCCCATATTGGACACCTTGGGACTACATTTCTGTTATAGCTCTCTTCTTATGCACCTTGGAAACCAGCAGATG